GTTGGGCATAGATACCCATTGTGAATAATTGCATTTTTTTTTAAATTTTTTTTTTTAGTTCATACCGAAGTCTTCTCCGTATACATGATCTTTCTGGTTTCGTTGTCTATCCTGGGCTATGAGCCGCCGTCTCTCTTGGCGTATTCTTCCTCCATGGCCTCCTCGTAGAGCCGGTCGGCCTCGAGCTCGGCTTCCGTCTTGGGGCGGGTGGTGCCGGCTCCCGTGTTTGCGCCGGCGCCGGTAGCTTGGCCCGTGTGTTGCTGGCTCTGTCCGACTGTTTCTGTGGTACTAGACTGAGCTGGTTGTGTCTTTGTAGGTTCGTCTTCTGGGACGTTGGGGACGCCTAGTTTGATTGGGAGACCCATTGCGATGACGTAGTGTGGGGTGTGTGAGGTGAGGAATGGAATGTACGGAGTATGTATCTGTGGAGAGTGGGAGTTGGTTTAGGGTGAGAGAGTTGAGTGAGGATGAGGATGAGGATGAGTGTTTGTGAAGAGAAGTGTGGCTGGGGTGAGGCTGGTGTATGTGCTGTATTTATGGGGAAGGAAGTTTGTAAGGTAGGAGAATGGAAGATTCCATGCGGCAGTGATGGGTAGCTAGAAGAGTCCGCATAGACTTGCGTCTGCCTTTGCTCGTGTGCTTGTCAAACAGTCACCTGTGGCGAATCATGGGAGGGAGCCGGCAGAGCTGTTCAGCTGCCCTAGGGACGCAGCGAGCTCCGCTATTCGCCGTGTGTGGGTAAAGGTAGTTCGGATCCGAACTGATGGCCGGGGACTGGAAGTGTCTTGTCCTTCGAGCCGATCCGCCCCACCTGTTGTCTCTGGGATCAGCACTGGACGGAGGTCCAAAGCCACACATACACACCGCAAGCTTGACAAGGTAGGGAAGGTGAGATGAGTGGGTGAGAGGCAGGCAGAGAGGTATGGTACGTAGGTTGTGGAATGTACTTCCGTACACGTGCTGTGTTCACCGGGCAGCCGGAATCGAGATTTGAAGTGAGACGATTGCTTTTGGTCTCTTTAATTTAGAGGTTGGCTCATGTTTTGTGATCTAGATTGTCTTGAAAGTTTGGAACACTCGTGTCTCTCTCTCACTCTGGTTCTGTGTGTGTATGTGTCTTGCGCACGTCGGGAAGTGGGTGAGAGAGGAAACAATTTAGAAGGTTGAGCTACCGTTCTGGATGAGACATGGCAAACACAGGATGTATTCCCCGAAAGGCAATTGCTCGAAACTTTGCTTGCAATGGAGAGTCGAAAAAGTCAAAGCATACTGCGTGCAACGCTTTGGCTCTCGAGTCCTTGAGAAAGAGTTCAAGGTAAGGGGCCATGGGATGTGATTTGCGGATAAGGCCCAATGCTACGGCAGTTTTTTTGCAATCTGCAGTCTGTAAAGTCAAAGGGTCTCCGGTGGGATGAGTCCTGGAAAAGTCAGGGACGACATTGCGACATTACCTATGACATTTTGTGAGATAGGGTTCTACGGCAACGTCGTTCTTGGTGAAATGTGTGTATGTGCGCCTTGGCCACCAAGAGACACAAGACACTGCCTACTCTAAATCGACTCGATTGGGCCACGTAGGACCTGTCTCACTCTCGATTCAATCGTACTGCGCCGCTCTGTCACGTTATGCAGTGACGTTTTTCCTTTCTTTTTCTTTTTCCTCTTCGCAGTTGTCTGGTGACTGGAGGGAAGAGTCGCCATGCTGATTCGACTCGTGCAAGTCAGTAGTCACCCCAATCACAGAACAGAACACGGAAGAAGGTGAACAAGGTGCATCCAGATCAGCCAGGAACCATTTTGGATACCCAACGGGCCAGTGAGAGCGTTTGGATTTCGAATTTCCCGTCTCCCGTCGGCGCCGAGCACCGAGCGGCGATTTCCCCCTCAGACTTTTCTCTCTCGACCAACTACCTTTTGCAGTAAGCGATTGACCGTGCAATTGCAAGGCCCCAGTCAGGATGAGCATGCTTATTCTCTCTTCACCGTCTTCTCTTTCCCCCTGTCCTCCCTCTCTATGTATACTACTGTGGTAGGCTTCTAGATGAAGATTAGCCCCCCCTTACCACAGTACGACTCGGCGCTGCGAAATAAACGCCGGAAGACCGGCCGTATGACCCCCGGAGGGTCGGCCGGTTGCACCGCGAACCAATCAATAGCGAATGTAGACGCAGTGAGAAACCCAAAAGAGGAAACGTAGTTATGTAAAGCAAAGGTGAAGCGGAGGTAACCATGCAGTTTGGTCCGTCACGGTGCTCCGAGTTGCGTTTAAGGATATAAGAGGTACGTACTCCGTACCTGTCCGTCCGTACTTCCGAGCTTTGGTGGGGCACTCCCGAGCCAGCGGACCAATGAAGGATACTACAATCAGTGCTTACCTCTGGGTCTGGCCAATTATCGATCGGCCGTTGCTGATTACACGTCCGAATGGTAACACCGGGTCGCAGGGTGGCCTGCGACCCCTGCAGCCTCTGGGATCGGGGGCGCTCGAACTGGGCCCTTGCTAATGGCTTTCTGGGTCGCATTGAGCAACAAGCTACACCATAGGCTGCTTTTTTGCTTGTCATGGGCGAGACTCGAGGCAAGCTTGGCCTTTTTTTTTCACTTCTGGGGCTTTGTAAGTTTCGTTTTTGTTGCCCCATTACTTGACATTCTTCTAGTCAAAGTACCTTGATTCTGCTTAGCTTTGATATGTAAGGGCAAGAAGGGGGGAGGGGGGACGGTACCTTGAGAAAGAAAGTCAAACGTTCCCAGGTCTCGAGGAATTTAAACTGACGGATGGTTGCCCTCTTACACCACTCTCGATCTGACACTGGAATGCCAACTGATCTCGTCCCTTCATACTACTTCATACTACATCATCCAGACCTGTGAACAACTCGATTCAACGAAAACAAAACAAACAAGCCTGTCTCACTACCCCGGACTCGAGTTCTCTCTCTCGATTCTCCTACTAAAACCCGAGCTTACACCTCGGCGATTTACAAGTCGAAAGAAGCTTCTCTTTCCCTCGGACGTGCTTCGAGAACGGGTCTACAGGATCAGGGCGAGAGAAGATTGAGATACATTAGATTAACTCTGCCTGGACTTCGACACCACGCTCCCATCTCGATAACACATCAGCATCAGGGAACCCGGCTTACATTCTCCCTCTCTCTTCTCTCAAAGAGAAGAGCTATACTTACCATTACATCACATCACATCACACAAAATGGGTCTCGTCACATTGAAAAACCTCCTCTTCGGCCGCACGCGGCCCCCGACGCGCGCCAAAACCGTCAACGGCCGCGCCGAGAGCACAATGTCGGATGAGACTATCGTCGACAGCGGCGACCTCGAGAGGCAACCCCTGCTGCGGTCCAGCGACCGGACCGTCTCGACAGCGACCATGGCGACGGCGACGTCAGAAACGTCCACCACATCCACGAGAGTCTCGGAGAGCGACTCGCGCAGCTTCCGCCTCGACGCTCGCATGATTTCCGACGCCACTATTGGACTGTCTGACGGCTTGACGGTGCCGTTTGCCCTCACGGCCGGTCTATCAGCGCTGGGACAGACAAAGGTTGTCATCTTTGGCGGTATGGCGGAGTTGATTGCCGGTGCTATCTCAATGGGTCTCGGTGGCTACCTTGGAGCCAAGAGCGAAGCGTAAGTTCTTCACCATAGTTTTGACAATATGCTTGGAGAGCATCACTAACACTCAAACTCAACAGTGCATCCTACAAGGAAACCCGCAGCGAATGCACCCGCCTGACCCAAGACGACCCGGCCATGGCCCGCGCCCAGGTCCTCGAGGTTCTCGAACCTTACGACCTCCCCAAACAGACCCTCGAAGATGTAACAGACCACCTCTCAACTTCGCCCCGGCTCATCGACTTCCTCATGCAATTCCACCACTGCGAGCAGGAACCGGCCTCCAACCGCGCCTTCATCTCCGCCCTCACCATCGCCGCCGGCTACCTCCTCGGCGGTCTCATCCCGCTGTTCCCCTACTTCTTCGTCCCAGCCGAGGACGTCTACCTGGCGCTCTACATCTCCGTCGCTGTCATGGCCGTCGCGCTGTTCGCTTTTGGCTACGTCAAGACGTGTATCGTCTCGGGTTGGTCCGGTTTGCGGTGCGTGAGGCAGGCTGTTGTCGGCGGATTGGAGATGGTTGTCGTCGGTGGTGCGGCGGCGGGTGCGGCAATGGGGTTGGTGAAAGCTTTTGATCAGCTGGCGCAGTCTGATGATGTGTCTGCGTTGGCGAGCAAGATTTTCTAATACCCTCACACCTATGTTCTTTTTCTACTCATTTTCTCGACTCATGTCGTCTGTCTGGACAAGCTCCTTTTTCTTACTTCAATACCTCTACTCTTCTGTTTATTCTCTTTGTCTAGGGTGTACACGGGATGTGTTACACGCCATCAGGGTGGTAGGGAGGCACAGGAAAACTCGGACCGGGGGTTCAGGTCAGGGCAAAGGAAAATCTCCCATGTTTGCATTGTTTAGCGTGGTACGCGGTTACACCAAGGGAACCATATTATTCCAGAGTCGCCTTCCAGATCGAGAAGATGGTTAGGTCGCAGCGACGCGAAAGAGGGCGGCGTCGGCGTCGAAGAGTCTCACGAAACTATGGGATATGACAGCAAGGACAGCTGCAGGGGAAGCCAAATTTTACTAGATAGACCATCTATTAAAACAAGACTGAGACACGTTCTCTCTTCCACAGTTCATTCAATACATTGATCAAGTACGGCGACTTAACCGCTGCCTCAGCCCTAGTAGAGCTTGGTCAGGAGATTCACTCTCTCGATGCCCTATGCACTGGACAGCAGTCGACTGCTGTGCCGATGTTGCAAGTAATTGTTTCTGGGTCCTTATTCATTCATGTTTGCTTACAACGTTACTTGCTAAAGGAGTTCATTGCCATACAACTGCGCCTCTACAGACTAGACCTGTCTCTTTTGGTACCACATCTTCGACTCTTCCTCCCGTATCCTATAGCCAGCCTGCTTCCAACTTGCTTATTTGGGCACCACCCAAACCACGCTGGGCGTGGTTGGCAGGGGCTCATAATGCAAAAAGGCCTTCCTCTTGGCGGCTCGCCATCTAACGGCTTTGATAATACCAATGATGAAGACACCTGAAATAACAGTGAGCCCAACGACAGCCCGGGCAATGTCTTCACGTAATCCCCAAGGAGCTCCAATGGTGCCAGGAGGTAAGTCATGGTCAGGATCTAAGTGCGTCAGTACGGAAGTCTACGAGGCATTGGGCAGAATAGAAGACATACCTGTCTCCGGTGACAGCAGCTCATCGACAATGTGAGCAACCCCACCGCTAATGAGCACATTCTGCATCGTCACCATCTTGTGATTAACAAAGATGCGCCCCTTGGAATCGCCGCTGATGGAAATCTTCTTGCCGCTCATTGTCGTCACCATCCTCGGCTCTTGCGGGAAAGATGTGTGGAACAAGACGTGGTCCGGGACGACGTGGTCTTTAATGAGCGTCTCTAGTGCCTTGTCATCGAGCGATTCTAGCTTCGAGCGTCCTCTCCAGACGGCCTTGTTCCTTGGGAGGAAAACGGTTGCGTCGTGGAGCTTCTCGAGTACACCATCCATGCGGGACTCGGTGACTACGTTCCAGAATACGTCGAGTTCTCCCAGGCTGCTTGTCTCTGACAGACTACGGGGGACTACCAGAGCCTGGTTGATTGTGTGAATGACGCCGTGGGTGTGGGGAATGTCCGTGTCGACTGTGTGTACGATTTTCTGGTCGCCAGACTCCACGCGTAGATTGTGTGAGCCGTCGCAGGTCGCTGTCAACTTGACGACGGCCCCCTTGGAGATGTTTGTTAAGCCTGAGGATGGTTTGAGTGACGACTGGGCTAGCTGGGTCTCTGTATGAAGTGCGGGAGCCGATGAGAGGTAAGAGCCCTCTAAGAAATGGTACTGCAAGACTCCCCTGGCGATGTCTGGGTCCATGGAGGTGAGATTCAGGCCCCATTTTGCGAGATAGATGATCGCATCGTCGGTCATAGCCAGGAGTGTGGAGTTTTGTGCCTTCTCGAAGGTGTCCATGAGCTTCAGGTGTGTAAGGAGGCCGTGGAGCATTGAGGTCGAACCATGCTTGGCTAGGACGTCTCCGAGAGACTGTGCCGCCGCAGAAGCCAGTAAGACGGCAGTTGTGGTGTAAGTGAATAGATGCATCGTGATTGAAGATTCAGATCAATCCTATTCTGGCGTTGGATGCGCGTAGAGGTTTTGCAGCCGGTTGCTATATCTACATATACCTTTCCCAGTCGTCCCCAGTCTTGGCTTGGGGCCGTCGTCAGTCTCCTACTCCACCAAGTCTCAGACTCGAACTCTTTTCGGGCATGTAGACGGTAGAACACCTATCTAAGGTTCAACTTATGCTAAGTCAAGCTATAAACAGCAAAGGTTACTATGCAGACAAACGGGCGTACTGGAAAGTGGCAGGTTGATCCTTGTGTACGATATCGACCGTTTTGACAAACGGATTCTCAATTCGGCAAGGCACTGGAAGCATGACTCCTGCGGTGTGTATCAATGGCCAAGCATATGATCCTTGAACAAGTGGTATTAGGAGTAATCTGCCCCAGAAAAGTAGGTCTTAATTGTGAAGTGATCGAAGTTGAAAGCTGCTGGGGCTCTCGCGAGTGGGAATAATCAACTAAGCATCTTGAGTTTTGAGCCATAGCGAAGCAGTAAACACACCCATTATAAGAACTATTGACTATTTAAGCTATCACATACGACCATACCCATTGGAAAACTCGGGATCCCGTCCGCTCTCCCATAGATAAGCCAATGAGGGCCGGATTAGTAGTTGGGTCGGTGACGACCAGCGAATACCTGGTGTTGTATGTTTTTGACTTTTTGTGCTCTCATCTGCTCTAAGGGCACCGGAGACCTGTCAGTCAGTAGATGCAGATGAGACCGTTTTGGCTAGCCCTTGCACATTCGTTTAAATCAGGAGGAGCTCTCTAATGAGATTTGAGGAACGCTAGATTAGCCTTGCCCACAATGACTTAAACCTTTCCTCGCGATCTAAGCTGACTGGCCACACAACGCGGCTCAACATTTCCCTGGCTTCAGACCATGCAACAACGCCTGTGATCTTGGCCCAATTCCGAACGAAGCTGGCCAATTCTTCCAGGATGGAATCGAGGCGCTTGTCGCAGAATAATAGCTGGGCATGAACCACACTTAATGAACCGACAAATGCTTTCCAGAGCCACGTGTCGCGTGTCTCTCGGCTCATACTGGAGAGACTGACTAAGTCATTTCGCAAATCTTGTGTAAGAATCTGGAGTATATGGTAGTGCAGTTGCTTCTCCATTGGTAGACCCTGATTCCAGATCCCAAGAGCGGCAATCAGATACATGCCGACGCCCACACAAAATCCAGACCACGACGATATAAAGGTTTGCTTTCCACGAGATGGGAGTTGAATCTTGTCGGCCAATGATGAATGATGGGCGCTGATGACTGCGAACAGTAGGTCGGATGAGCCACCACTATCCCAAACCTTCCAGGGCGTGGTGAGAACTACGTCAGCAGATGCTTGCGCATGTCTTGCGTCTGCGAGCTTGGTAATATTACGAAGAGCTGTAATAGTCGGGTACATATCAATGTTCTTTGGCTTGCTACCTTGTGGCACAGAGCCGAAAAAGAAAGGTACCATTCGGAGAGCCCTGAGGCGAAGATCCAGATCACTAGCCTCGTGGTTAGGCCATCCATGTTTCAAGTTGGCCAACCCTCTAGGATGTGAGTGTGGCTTTTTGCCTTGAGACGATGCGTAGGTAGCAAGAGTGTCGTCTGAGCGGCTCTTCAAGCAGTGGACGACGTTGTAATCTCTAGCGAGGTAAAGAATCAATGAACATGTACATTTTATTCTGCCATTTGAGGTTCCTTACAGAATAAGATAGCGATTCATCTGCTCAACTTGAATGTCATCAATTATGTGCTGACCGGGGGTTTCCGCTCGCTGAGAATCCAGATAAGTCATGAGACCTTTAAGGTGAAATTCGGCAATAGCCAAATTTCCTAAGCAACACTAAGAATTCGAAATGTCAGTATGACGGAGTATAAAAGCAAACCAGCGTTGTAGCACCTCTATGAAGCAGAGCGTACTGATGTACTTTGCGCACCGCATGATATCTCGTTCGTGTGGCGTTGCGACAAGCCAAGAGTTGACCTGGCGTATGCTCTGGATCTTTTGGGAGACAAAAGTGGATTCAAATGAAGAGAGATCGCCTTTATTCCATGCGTAGTGAAGACCGGATAACAATATCGTGTTTTGCAGGACATCCGCATCGGAAGTAGCTGATGCAATACTGCAGTGCCTCTTAGTATATCATCGTCCGGATACCGCGATAGACACTTACCAATCATCCGGATTTCCGGGTAGCAGACTCTGAGAGCGGCAAGCTTGGAAAACTGTTGTGCTATGATCAGATACAGCCAACACGTATTGCTGGCTTAGCATGAGAGAACAGACTAACAGTAGTGAAGAAGTTCCTTCGACCTGAGAGGCATGTTGATGGGCAAAGTGTCGAAGGGATCAAAGGCTTCCCACGGAGTTACATAAAACGGACTCGGTATTGTGAGCACTTGGATAGATGGCACCTCTGATGATACGGCAATCTCCTTGTCGCTATAAGAGTGGTGTGTGATGGGCCGTGTATCCTCAACGGCCCACGGTGCTTGTTGACCAGGGCAAGGGCCAGCTCTACGTTCGCGGAGCGGAATCTTCGGCACATACGAACACAACTGCTCTTTGAGTGTACAATTGAAGCTGTCGGATAAGATCATTAATCGTGCGTTCCTGAAGTGTTATGACTTGTGGTGAAGCCTCGTGGGGTAAGTTGTTATGATGTGATTGGATCCTCCCAGACAGCACTTGTCGAAATAGTCTTTATATCCACTATCTGACCGCGTAAATGGACACATTAGGAAGGCAGCTTACCAAGATGGGCGCCTCTCATCGCATCGAATGTGCTTTTGGCGGCATGATACGCACCCTGTCCGGCTTCGTGTATTGGTGCGTCTCGCCTTGAGCTTATCCGGCCCAGGGGCCATTATTGGCATGCGAGCAGCTGAGATCAATGCTCGGGTGAGAGTTTTCTTCTCTGGCCTTCCGATCTGGCCAAAACAAAAGAAAACAGAAGAGTGAGTGACGAAATTCGATTTCATGTGAGATTTAAGCAAAGGCAAGTATATGCCGCTATTCCCGTTTGGGCCGAATAACCTGTCAGCCGGCGAATTATCTTTGGCCTCCTTTTCCCTACGATTGTACGGGGTTCGGCCAACTCCTGCACATCCCTTGGAGAACCACAGAATACCCATAGCCAGAAGATGTTTGTTACGCTCGAGTATGGCAACTATCGGTTATGCAACGAGCAGAAAGTGGCTTCACGAAACTTCTGGAAGTCTGCCTGCTGATCCTACTAACAGGCCGCTAATAGCACGACCAGGCAACAGATTGAGCAATTTGACTTGAGGATTTGGTATAAAGATCGCTTCAATTCCTTACAAGAGGAAAGAAACAAACCATCTTTCCCTTCTTCATCACTCTCAGTCAACACAACTGTACCAAATACCAGACGATGGCCTCCCTGCCTTTCAGTGCCCATCCCTACGAGGTCCCTCCTTCAGCAAATCTCACGGCCACCAGCATCTCAGTCCCTGATGCTGAGATTGACAGTTTGAAGACGCTTCTCAAACTCACCCCCATTCCCAAACCCAATAGGTTCAACTCGAGGGATGATGGGTCTTTCGGCCTTCATCGAGATGTCCTCTCAGAGTTGGTCAAATACTGGGAGAACGAATACGACTGGAGAAAATGGGAGTCTACTCTCAACACTTTTCCCCAGTTCAATATGGATGTTACCGATGACGACTCCAAAACATACAAGATCAACTTCTTCGCTCTTTTCTCCAAGAACCCATCCGCAATCCCCATTGTATTCCTACACAGCTGGCCAGGCTCTGTTGTAGAGTATCTCCCGATCCTTCGCAAACTTCAATCTCAATACGACCCCGAGTCGCTTCCCTATCACGTCATTGTGCCTCATCATGTCGGATTTCCGTTCTCTGACGCACCGCCCCTCGATAGGGACTTTTCGCATCTCGATAATGCTCGCCTCATGTCAAAGATGATGCATGCGTTGGGCTTTGGTAAGTCCGGCTACATTGCCTCAGGCGGTGACCTCGGCGGTTGGTCAGCGCCCGTCATTGCGAATCTCGATCCAGCGTGCAAACTCGTCCACATGAGCATGCTGAATGTTTCACCACCTGCTGGTGAAGATGTCGAGGCCGGTATTGAGGCAGGGCAGTATACTGCAGACGAGGTAGCAGCCTTTGCCAGAATGACCGAATTTGCAAAGACAGGCACCGCATTCATCCAACTCGACGGAACGAAGCCAGCCAGTGCAGGGCACATTATCGGAAGCAACCCAGTGGCACTACTCGCCTGGATCGGGGATAAGATGATCAAGTGGTCTGACAAGACACCAGATAGAGATCTTATCATCACGAACCTGGCCCTCTATTGGTTCACGGGGTGCTTCCCAACGTCGGTCTATATCCATCGTGTGGTCTTTGAGAACGTTGAGCTTATGATGAATGGTTGGAAGACTCTCAAAGTCCCACTAGGATATTCAGCCTTCAAGTATGAGCTTGTCTCTGCACCTGAGAGGTGGATCAAGCAAACAGACCAGGTGAGCTGGTATCGAATGCATGGGAGAGGAGGTCATTTTGCTGCGCTTGAAGAACCAGAGGCTTTATGGAAAGATGTGGAGGATTTTATCGGGAAGTTTTGGCCAACGACCTTGTGAGGCCTGCTGTGTAATCAGGCTTCGAAGGTTTGCATGTGATCTTGTTGCGTGGAAGGAAACATTGTTGATGAGAATGGTTTATAGTTGTAGAGTCACACAAGAGATTGAAATGATATAGGGCGATGTGCTCAACATCTCATGTTCCTGTCTAATAAGAAGAAGTTTACCCAATCATCGAAAGTATTCCGATATTGATTGAACTGGACACACTTGCTGCCCTAGAGGCAACAAAATACCAGACAGCTCTCTGTTGCAACGGTGTCGCCGACGATGGACTACGCTTCTGTGCTGTGGTCCGATACGAGTATTCGCCAGTGCTTTCATGTCGCTATGTCACACAATATCCACTGTACGCACGCTGCCATCCGCATACATGCTTCTCTGCAAATCGTTCGGTGGGGTGGTTGACTGGATGAAAAAGCATCCGATCCGTTCAAACTTACCAGGTTGCTGCTTGCTTTCCTTCAGGACCAGTGAAATGAGCTTGAAATTGTCACTCGGTCCATCTTGGATGAAGCTCATCCTGAGGCAGAGCACATCTGCGCCTGGAAGAACTTGGTCTGTACCAGGGCTATCCAAGACGTAATCAGCATGGATATGGAACCGCCCGGTCGATACAACGATATAGTGAACCACGGTCTCCTTCGCGTGACGAATCACAGTGTCTCGTTCAAGTACACCCTCCATTGTGAGGCCGGATATTCTCAAGAGCCCGTAGGCTATGCCGCCATAATTGCCCACGCCTGATGGAGTTACCTTGCAGTCCAGAACGGTGCTGTAGTGCTCAAAAAGGCCTCTGGAGTCTTCTTCGTAGTCAAGGTCGGGGTCCCAGACAAACACTGCGTCCCACACATCGACGCTCGAGTCAACACTAGCCCAAGACCATGTCGGTGCGGTCCTGGGACTTGGTCTCGGGGTTTTGAGGGTAGTCCGTATGATCCAAAGAAGATCATCGTTTATGGAATCTTCCCATATCCCTGCCAGGTAGGACGACTTTCGCCTGACCGCCATATACTTTGCGAGACCTCCAATGGCCGGTAGACGGTCTGAGGTCATTGTGAGATGAAGCGCAGTGTATGAGGTGATCAGGGTGCGCCATAACCTCGCCATAAAATAGCCAGCTATATCCACCCAGTCGTACCCATCAACCTCGCTATCAAGTGCGGAAGCGTGCAAGAGTTTGGTGACGGATATGGGGGAAGAGTCGGATGATCCATGAAACTTGATCCGGCCGCATTCACAGAACAGGTCGGAGCGACACTCGAAGAATATCTCTTGGGGGCCGAAATGCAGAACGCGTGTCGACAGCATGCGTTCCTGGTAGACCCAAGCTCTAGTGAGTAAAGGATGAAAGGAGGATGTTGGATCTCCTCGGTCTGTTGAATTGACGATATTGATGACCTCAAGATGATGGTCAATTCTACGGCGAAAGAGCAGTCGATAGGGGTCACCCGTGACCGTAGGCAAGACAGAGTCAGACACCTCGAAGTCGGGTGTGTTCACAAATAGTCCTCCATCACCATTGCGTGATTGCGTAGCGGCAATGGTCAAGTAAGCGTTACTGTAGATCTCGGCCATCTTCACAGACTCTGTTTCCCAGTCGATCTTGGAATCTTGGATGATACACAGTGAGTCAATCCAGATGTATTTGATTCCAAGTCTTCTAGTGACTAGGACGGCGTCTTGAAAGGTTTTCGAAAGACTGGTCATTGGAATCCCTGTCTTGCGTTGGGAAAGAGTTGCATTTGTGCTGGTTATGATTTGTTTTTGGCCCCAGCAATGACTGAGAGTGATGTAGTCTTCGTGCTGGCCGCTGGAATCAATGAGTCGAATCATGTCTTCAGCGTATCCAACGTCTAGTACCCGGCTTGGAAGCGTCGGCTTTTCAGGAGACTCGCAATATTCATGAGAATCGCCGAGACAAATCTCAATCCATGATCTGACTTTGTCAAGAGCAGTATCCGAATCAGTACCTTCCGACGTCCTGTATGTGGTCGGTATCGATTCCCATGTATCACGAACAGGATCTGGGGCATTTCTTTCAACATTTATGATTCCACATATCACCAATGGATTGTGTTGTGCTTACCGCCCTCAAGCGCAACAAATTCGACTTCAAAGCGACTCCCATCTGTCATGTTGAATCGAATTTGTTTGTCAACGTCGACCGGAAAATCGTACTTGAGGTCAGACGACAACTTGTAAACGAATCGTATGTCGCAATGGTTGATGTTGGCTTCATGAATATTATGCTGCGCTAAGCAGCCTCGGCACCCCATTAAGAGGACACTACAAGTGTGACAAGAGGCTGCAGAGCTTTGGAACTTGTCCCATGGCACCCCTGATATTTCATGGTTCCGCCTGGTCTTCAAGGCTGGATCTTGAATGTCTCCATGGCCGTGGAGTTCATTGCAGACCTGGCAAGCCATGATGAGGATGAGCGCTGAGCGTGCGTTATTGTTTGGCTGCATGTTTGAAGCATCTGACGAAGCGATAATTAAGGGGGTTTTAGTATCATGTGACCAGTAACCCATTGGCGTCGTAGACGTTATTGGCACTTTGTGTTCAGGTGCAGGCTGACTGCATATTGCGTAGTCATCCGCCTTATTGCGATGCGCAGACTGGTTGGCCCACCAATTGCGAGTCTCTTCGAAGTCGAACGGGCTGAGCTAGAGTTTAACGTGGTCTTCAGTGACCCATTTTGGTTATGGCTTAACGCTTATATCTCGCGTTGCATGCCTTTATCTACATAGTATCTAGGAACCGTTACCCAAAAGAACGCCCGCTCTAGATGCGAAAGAACAGATAATGAATACAGTAATAATACACTGCAAACGGTCGTTCACCTAAAAGTCCCTGCTCTCTCCAATCTCACACACATCAAACACGCCAGTCGGGGGCAAGCCCTTCTTCTTCATGGCTTCCTGAAGAAGCTTGGGCGGCTCCAGAACCTCTTCCATAGTCAGGGCCCATGTTCCCCAATGAATGCCCATGGCACGCTGACACCTGGTATCCTGGAAGATCTCGACGGAATCGAACGGGTTGGCGTGCATCCCTGAGAAGGCAACACGGGGATAGTATGCACCGATGGGGATCAGGCCGAGGTCAAACGGTCCTCGGAATTCACCAATCTGCTTGAACTGCGGGCACATGGGCAGGTGGGCGTACTTTGGACCGTAGTCATCGACATCGAGCGGGGTCCACGGCACGGCGCGGTATCCCGTGTCGCCGCCGAACCAGACCGACTTGCCAGACGACTTGACGCCCCACGAGGCCCAGAGTGTCGTGTCCTTGTCAAAGGGCGTGCGGGCGGAGGTGTGCTGGCAGGGGAGGCAGGAGACCTGGGCGGTGATGGACTCGGGCGCCTCGTCGACGCCCTTGTCGATGTTGAGGGTGATTTCGGCGTCCTCCCACCAGTCGAGTTCCGTGACGTTCTTGAGGCCGGCGCTCTTAAACCAGGACTCCAGGCCGAGGCCGACAAAGAAGTGGGCCTTTGGGTTGTGCTTCTGGATGGTGAGGACGGATTCGTGGGAGAGGTGGTCGTAGTGGCTGTGGCTGATGAAGACGGCGTCGACAAAGGGTATGTCGGCGAGGTCGCAGGGTTTGGGGGTGAAGCGTTTGGGACCCATAAATGAGAAGGGGGAGCAGCGGTCTTCAAAGACAGGGTCAAAGAGGACGCGCAGGCCGGAAGGGAATTCTACGTAGTAGCAGGCGTGGCCCAGCCATGTTGCGCGGAGCTTGTCTGAGGCTGTGCGGTTGGGCAGGAACTCTGGCTTTTTGACGGTCACTGTTGGCGGCGTGGTGTCTGGCCACTTGAGCTCACCCGTCACTTGCGGCCTGTGATGGTTGTTAGATGCGATTGAGCGGGAGTGGAAGCGGAAGTGAGGCCGGCGTGACCGGGCTGTGAGAATGAGATTGAGATTGAAACGTACCAGAGGACATGGCGGACCATCTTGGAAAAGCCGATGCCATCACCAAAGGAAGGGTGGACGTTCTTGAAGCCGACTCTGTTGCCGTTTTTCGTGACGTGATGAGGCTTAGATGAGGCATCCTCGGGCGAGGGACCAAGGTCTGGGATCTTGGTGACGGTGGTTGAATATGAGGCCATTGAAAGGGCGAGCACGGAGGCCGGCGTTGCTGAAGCCTTCTTAGTACCGGGACGTATGGGCGGTTGTTGGAAGAAAGTGCGGAAGAACTGTCTGAACTTGGACATGGTTCATCAAAGACCCTCTTGCCCGAGGGGTGTGAGGGGATTCCGAGATATATAGATAGAGTTGGACTTTGTTACATATGCAGGATGTGACACGAAGAAGAGGAGAGGGAGGGAGGGGAGTGGAAGAGACAAGCTCAAAGTGGTTGCAATCCGCGCTCGCCGGCCGGGGAATTGGACTAGACGGAACGGGATCCACTCGGCGTTAGCGAGAGCAATGAGCCCGGTCCGAGAGAGAAAAGATGAGGTAGGCAGTCATCGATACGTGTGCATCACTCATGCGGTGAGGCTTGGTTTAAATCTGCACTTCAGATGTGCGATTGCGAGCCACAGGAATGATGAGCTCTGAGCCATCAGTCCAATGGCTATGGAAAGTGAGCTGGTCTACCTGTCGCAACGCGTCAAGCATCTGCGCGTCACTACCTTACCTCTAAGTCATTTCATGTAAGTCGGCGCATCTGATTGGCACGTCAGTGGAGATACCGGCTTTTAGGACAACCAAAGTCCCCTAACCCGCCCACGGGTGTGCCCGTCTCATTGACAATAATCCATACGACTGGACCAGCCCTGAAAGTTCAAGCCACCGACTCCGGCTTCCAAAGTCCCATCTCCATCACCCACCAACTTAAGGTACTTTGGGTGAGCTATTGCACTTGGCTTGTGTGCGAGTGCGGGGGTTGCTAAAGTCCGGCGGTACCGTATTACTTGATGTACCGGCGGCCCATCGCGGAGACACGGTGGAATGATCCCTCCGTTGTGCGTTGTGCGAGATACCGGGGCAACGACGCTAGTCCCTTTTCGTAACCCATCTCTCTACCTTTTCACCTTCAGAAGTCATCATTTTTGAAAGCGATAACAATCAGGTACCCTAGAACAGGGGACCTAAGTACCCTAGAAGAGCTGATATGCGACTTTTAGCCAACTGGGGGCCGCCTCTTCATCCCTACTTGTACACCACATTTGCGAGTTACGGTTATTGTTCACACATGGCAGACTTCACGTAAGCATGCATGCAAAGCAATAAGAGACACGGTGACCGCACTCGCATCTGACAACCTGACTTCAATGCGACTCACATTCATCATTCATGAGCAAACCACATCTTGGTCTTTGGCAGTAGTTTCCTATCTCGTCATTGAAATCCTCTAGACTGCAACGCAAAGAACGCCTGGGGTGATCTCCAACATGATGTTCTACACCGAGGCCCACGAGAAACGATCATGACCAGCAAAGTCGCACACCCCCTTCTCCTGCTCCCACTCCTGCCTCTCCATGGCCCGCAAGTACTGTGTTTTGGCTCTGCGCATGTTGACCGGGTACTTGTATCTCATCGCCAGCTGCAGCCGCTGGCTCTCCTGCTCCTCCTCGCGGCGAGCCCAGTCTTCTTGGCGTCGACTCCAGTCTTCCAGACAATGAGCCCACTCTTGGTCAGAGCAGGTGTAATCTTCCTTCTCCTTTGTTTTTTCCTCTTCTTGTTCTTCGTTCTCGTCGTCCATTGCGTCCGGGCCGTCGATCTCGTCTGGTATTTCCATGGCTCCCCTTACGAGCTCAAGGCTGAGCGGTCGCGGTTTGCCGAGGGATGGAAGCGATATGGTCCTTCCTAACGGTTTGTTTTCAATCGTGGTAGTATTTAGAGAAATTCCCGTGGTACTTGTTGCTGGATTCTCCTCGCTACGACCAATCCATCGCCGTAATTTCGCAAGGTTATGCGGAATACGTTCAAACCGAAACGTCTTGATGACGAACTGGTTCCGAAGACAATGCAGTTCTGCCTCGCAGTCCTGCACAATACCAGCGTACAGGATCCTTGTAGGTTTATGTCCGCAATTCTTTGCCTCGGTCTCCAACGTACGGGCCTCCCGTAGCCAGCTTTGGGTTTGCCGTGTTGCGTCCCGTGGTAAGCGGTGCTCCTGGACGAGATGGTGGACGTCCCGGTACTCTGCCTCTTCAAACCCGTCGCGCCATGTTTGCACCTTCTTGTCCAAGAGTGGAATGCTGCTTTGTCGGCGTAGTGCGAGGATTGCTGATTCCCAGACTGCGGCGTCAGGATTTGCTGCTGGTTTGTTTGACGAGGGGAGTTGTTGGTGGTTTGTCGGTGTAAGAAAGTTCATGATAGCTGCGGCTGGCATTCTTATATGTCCTCAAATATGGATTGTTGTCTTTTTTGGCTGTGTACAATGGGGTTTGAGAATGTGAGATATGGTGGCTATGATGTCGTACAGATAGTGTGCCATGAACAATCCCATCAGGTTGTCAACTCGCCTTTTGTATCCTTCCATCAACCTTTGCGTCTCGAGGCGGAGATGGCTATGGAGTTGTGCCTCTCCCACGCAAAAGCTTGCCGCGCAGAACTAGACGAATGGGCCCTAAGCTTTACCTGGAAGTCTTCAAAAACCAACTCAAGCCATAGAGGTACCAAAAAGTCAAGAAACAGTAAACCAAGTTCAAATTCATCGAGACTGTGATGTCCCTGTCGCCGTCATTATCCGTCATCATGGTATCTGAGAAACAAGAACAAAAGCAAGCCCTGGACTAAAAGTTGCGCCCGAGCGGAACGCTCATCAAGAAAACCAATAGACGATCCTCGCAAAGGAAAGCGTCCATCAAGCCACCCAAAGGACCTTGCAAAGCAGATCTCACATGTTGATATTCCGTGTGTCGTCGCCCATTTCCTCGCTGCCCAACTCTGCCTGAACCTCATCGGCCACGAAACCCTCGTAGTCGTCAAGGTTCTTTTGTACGTGAATCTTGAATTTGATGACATCGTTGAGCATGCGGTCAATCTCTGTGTGCAGCTCTTCTCGCAGTGAGTTGGCACGAAGCACGAGCTGTTCGTATCTAAGGTAACGGTCAGTACTGACGCACCGGTAGCTGCGATTTGCTTGGACTTACTCGATGCTGGTGTTCATCTCACGTTGCTCCATCAGCTGTACCGACTCTGACAAAGTGGCTCGCATCTTGGCGAGCTCCTTTTCCATCTTCTCGATCTGGGCATCAGACGCCATCTTTTGTGTCGTTGTTACCTGTGATAGTTGTGTTGTTAGTGGGTGGTCTATTGTGCAGATCAGGCATACTGCGTACCTCCTTGGTCTTCTCATATTCTTCTTCAGCAGCGCGGACACGGTGCTCCAGAGCCTCAACTTCGTTACGCTTGTCTTCGATTGCCTCCTTGATGCCATCGAGCAGATCATGATCCTTCATCATGTTGTCCATAGCAATGGTTCTCCTTTCGGAAATCTCCTTTCTGAGCGTGAGGAAACTGTTCTTGACCTGTCCGCGCAAGTCGAGGTTGAGAATGTGAGCGGCTTGGTAACCAGTAACAGGGTCAGCAAGCAATCGGTCGCTTGAAGAAACGCCGCTAGAGCCCTTCAATTGGGAAGAGCTGAAGTCCGGTCCATCGTTGACCGTTACTTGCAATTCGTAGTCTCTGCCGTTGGCGTTGACTGCGGTTGCAGGTATAAGCGCAATCTGATACGCCAAAGTGTTGTATCTGTCAACCATTCTCTCGAGTTCGTCCAGTTTCCTGCTTGCCTCCATCTCCTTTTCGGCGACTTTCTTTTTGACGTCCTCCAATCTTTGCGATGCCGATTCGATTCCCTTCTGGAGACGTTCCCGCTCAGCAGTCATGCGGTCGATATCCTGCATGCTGATGCCGAGATCGTCCACAGCTTTTTGAAGTCCTCGTCGTTCGTCCTCTACCTCTCTCAGCTCCTCATTGAGCTTATCAAGCTCTTCGTGTAGAACGTTGATTCGGGTTTCGTACTTGTCGGATCTCTGCATGGCAAGCGCATTGTACTCCTCGAACTTGATCTTGTCCTCTTCCATGATCCTGAAGTGATTGTCGAGTACCGCGGGATCCGGTGTAGACTTTTCAAGATCTTCAATTTCTTGCAAAAGTCGGCTGTTCTCTGCCTCGAGCATTTCAAGCTCGGAGGTGTACTTGGAGTTGGACTGCTCAAAAGCGGCGGCCATCCTTTCAATATGAGGGGCCAGTGCTCGGTTGGCATCGTCGTCGTCTGCGTCCTCGTCCATGGCAAGCCAGTCCCTATATGCCTTGCTCAAAAAGTCGAAAATGATACGATCCCCGGTGACGTCGATGCCGCTTTCGAGACAAGCATCGTCGTATCGACTACAGGCGTAGCCATCCAGCATCTGCGCCAGCTGCATCATCCAATGCAGCAATCCCAGGAAAGTGCTCCAGTTTTGACCACCAACAGCGGCAATCTGACTCTTTGTGATGCTTCTCTCGTACGGGTACCGCAGCTGCTTCAAGATAGGCGGCACTTCTTGGTCGATGTTCTTTTGGAACTTGTGGCTCGGGTCAATCCGTCTGTACAGCCATTGGAACATGAAGTTGAAATCCTTTTGTGTAGGGGACTTGATGATGTTTTGCGATAGGGTGTGCTTCATCTGCATTTCGAAGTTGTTTTGGGCGAGGTAATCCAGCAGCTCTTGTCCTATTCTAGCCTGGTAGGATCTGTCTCGCAGCGGGCGGGGGTCTCGTGGTACGCCAGCAGGCTGTGGTGCTTGCTGGAAGAAACTCTGGTGGCTCATGGGTCCGGCGGTTGATGTCCTTGCGCGGTACACGCTGCTCCTTCTATCGTCTTGTGAAGATCGTCCTGGTGCAGGCGTCGGGGCAAAGGACTTGTCGCGTATCGATGATGTTCGCTTCACTGAGGACAGGCCAATGTCTGCCAAGTTCGTTCCGGATGATGAGCGCTGGAACATGGGCTGGCTAGGTCGCGATAATGCCAGAGATTGTCTGGAACCGGACATGGATCGGCCATGGCTGTTTGAGTAGGGCGCGCCTGCGCCGACGCCTGAGGCGGATCGCTTCATCGCTGATGCGGGTTGAGGTAGGCCGGTGTTGTAGTTAATGCCTCCTAATGTCTGCGCAAGATGTTAGCTAGGGCGAATCTCTAGAGGCCATAGTATTGCGACAGGCTGATATTGAGGAAAATGCTGACTTCTCTTGGTCTGCGCACACTCCACAGGCCGGTGTCTTGCGACATGGTCGGAGGGAGCTGAATAGTGGGAGTTCTAGTGCCAAATCGCAGTCAACGGACTTGCGAAAGGACTTGCGATCCAGGAGCCAACAATTGCGAGTCGCGGGGATAGAAGCAAGCTGTTGCGCGACGAATTCGAGTAAAGATGTATGGTTTGCGCGTGCGTGCATGCGTCGTGTGTAAGGAGGTGCGAGTGGGATGGCGGATCGGGTAGCAGATGCAAAAGTGTTGTTGCTCTGGAGCAAGTAAACAAATTGTTCTGCCCCTCGTTCATTGGTTGCGCACTGCCCCTCTCAAACAATGGGCGATGGGTCCCCGGCTGCCACGGTCTCGGTGATGCCCAACACGTGACGGTGAACGAAGGACATCCGCACGGTACTTGCTCGGCATTTCTCCGCATTAGGTAATCGCTCCAGACATTTCCCCAGCCGCTGCTCTGCGCCGAAGCCTCGGCTCAGGACCCGGCCACCCATTATTGCACGTAATCAGGTCGCGAAGGGCCCTCCGTCATTCCTTCCAACTGCACATGCCTTTTACCTTCGCCTCCATTACCGCGAAGTGTACTCTTCACTGAAGAAGTTCGCGGCGAGGTCGACAAGGCGACACATTGAAGATGGCGATACGAGAGGATATCGTCGCATCAGCGGTATGGTGAACCCAATCCCAATGTCCAATGGCGGCCTGCTAACTTGTAGATAGACGCAGTGTTAGTCCCAACGAACCGATGTACCGCGCGCAACCCTATACTGACTGTACTGTAGTTCTGCAGGACCCGAGCGTTGCAAGCTCGTCCATCGAGAGTCGCATGTCTTTCCTACGGACTAAGAACCTGACCCAAGAAGAAATCGATGCCGCTTTATCGAGAGTCGGCGTCCAGGCTGCACCAGGTCCGATGCCGGTCGCTCAGCAGCAGCAACAGCAACAACCACAACAATACTACCAACCAGCATACCCTCCTCAGTACCAGGCATGGCAACCTCCTCCACCGCCCCCTAAGAGAGACTGGAGGGACTGGTTCATCATGGCAACAGTCGTCGGTGGTTTCAGCTACGGCGCATACACTCTGGCTAAGGTACGGACTTCCACACCTCTGGTTCTGCGAAAACATATGACTGACAAAGCTTAGCGATACGTGGTTCCTCTGATTGCGCCGCCGACACCCGAGAAGCTCGAACAAGATAAGAAGTCGATTGAGGAGCAGTTCGATAAGGCCTTTGGACTTGTCGAGCAACTGGCCAAGGATACAGAGGAACTCAAGGCTACGGAGCAAAAACGCACTGAAAAACTGGATACGGCTTTGGAGGATATTGAAAAGATTATGACGGAGCTGAGGAACGCCAATCAGCGAAGGGAACTCGAGACACAGCGCGTCAAGGACGACGTGCAGATCCTCAAGGATTCCATCCCTAAGGCTATGAACACTCAGAAGGATCTTACCGACTCGAGACTGAAGGAGGTCAACACCGAACTCACTAGCCTCAAGACCCTGATCACACAACGCATGACCGCCGCGTCATCATCGACACCCGCCAACGGTCTGCGACCTGGTGCGACCGCTACGCCCGCTCCTGCTGCGAACAGCACGGAGGCCGCTGCCAGCACCGAGACCACCAAGCCCGCCAGCACGCCGACCTTCAACCGCCCTTCGCCGTTCAGTGGTGCCACGGGCGCAAAGGCCTCTATCCCGGCCTGGCAGATGGCCATGGCCAACAAGGACTCTGCCGCCACACCGGCAGCAACAAACGGAACCTCGTCCGACAGCAACTCGCAGCAGCAGGCACCCGCTTCTTCATAATTGGGATAGTAAGGAAACACAATGTACAGTATGCATCTATGATTTCATTGCGTCATGAACAGGAGAGCGACGGGTGTAATTGCGCGTGTGGAACTTTTGGGAAAACAAACGCCTGTACAGAGTAGCAAAAGGTAGACATAAGCCTTGAAGCAGACTACGTGTATGCGGCGGCATAAAACATCCGAAAGCGACCTTTGTATGTGACAGTTATCCACGTGCAAGAGCCAGAACTCCAGCCCAGCCCCGGACCGCAGCTTCAGGGTTCAGAGGGGTTGTGAACGTGTGAGGCTGGCCAGGGTTCCATTGACGT